GGTTGAGAATGAAACAGGAAATGTTGGTTACCTAAGAAATTATTTCACGCCCTGGTGGAATCAGGCTCTCATCAATTTTTCAGCATATGGAGCTATTGATATCATCTTAAAGGTTATTCATTTGTCTCGCTTTCCATGAAAAAAAATCCATCTATCTTGAATAGAAGTTGAGATATTTGCGATTGAAGGAGGTGGGGGTCGCCTGGTTTCAGAAGTAAAATTAGCGAGAAATTGGCTGCCAAAGCTTGGTGACTCCCTTAGCTTAAGAGTCCTTGGAAACGGCAAATTTACGTTTTTTGTACCTTTAATCAATGTTTTCCCCTAAAATCCACATATGAAAGTGTTTTTGAATGGACATACAAGGTGTTGAACCAAAAAACAAAAATTTGAAAAAATTGTCCAAACTGGCCTAAAAATGCTGATTTCTTTGATTTCATTATTTTGACAAGCGCCTGATTTCATCAAGATACCTCACAATTTATTGTGACGTCTTAAGGGATCAAATTTTTACCAAATTTCACACATATAACAAGAATAGGAAGGAGTCTTGAAATCCGCAATCAAATTTGAGAAAAAGTTCCATTTCCATGGATACGGTGGCCATGTTGGATTATGTTAACATGTCTTACGTAATGAATACCGCACTTATTTTTCATGGAAATTTTTGGGGTTTTTTGGGTGCATGTTAGCAAACATTAGATCTACAAATTCTTCTGTTGAATTTTTCTTAAACAAAGTAGAAAGTTTTTAATGAATTTTTTCCTGAGACTGTATTCAAGTTTGAAAATCCACACTCCAGACACCACCAACAAAAATATATTCCATATATAAAAAATTCAACACACTAATTTTTAGTATTACATCTTCTCTTCATTCTGTGAAATTTTCATAAAGATTAGATGGAACATGGAGGAGTCATTTTAAGAAAGTTATTATATAGAAATTATATATATTATATTATAGAAAAATCACGTTTTGAGAAAACGGGCGATAAAAAAAAATATTGACTTTATGAAGAAATGGTGGTAACAAACATGCCCGGTATGGGAAGAAATGAGGCTTTTGGGGGGTTCTTATGCAATGAAATAGTTGTAGGACAGGCTGAGAAAGCTAAAGATGTGTACAACTCAAAATCCATAATTTGGAGCCGAATCGGGACTTTCGGGGTATAGCCCCACCCCCCCCCCTAAAATAAAAACAAGAGAAAAACTGGTTTGTTTCATACAGAATTCAGTAAGATAAAACTTTTTCTCAAATAGATAGAAGAAACAATTGTTTTCAAAATAAAAACATTCACATTACATGTGAAATTGCATCTTCTGGAAAATTCTGGTGAAAAATAAATGTAATACTGGACGAGGTATGAACAGGAATGCCAGAGGTATGTTGAAATGCAATATATTTTACATGCATGCATCTCCACTAGAATTTTAAAGCTTTGTATTTTATCATTATGGCACATTAACAGTCCACATCAATTGGCACTGCGTTGGCAAGGACAAGGAAAAGCATAACTAATTGGATGGGACATATATATATATATATATATATATATATATACAATAAAGGACAGGTCATTCAAAAACTGAGAGGTGGGGGGGGGGGATATTTTTCCTTTAAAGAAAAAATACACTGCAAGAAGACATATTATATCCATGGTTGCCTCAAATTAGGACAAAACATCTTAAAGTAACAGACTGAATTTTCCAGCACAACATCTACTGGTATTTTACATCTCGATAGAGATCCTGTAACTGTAATACATAACTATCCCTTCACCACCAGTGTTAGAAACGACAAATGTGAGAGAAGGAAATCATTGCCAGGTCTAACTTTCAATGATGTACAATTAAAGACATCTTCAGAAAAAGGTGTGTGTGGGGGGGTGGGGGTATGTTTGGATCTCATAATTTTTAACTATCCTTTCATTATCACCAAAGAAGAATTTCATTTTAAAAAAAATAAAATTTAAAGACAAGACAATAAGGAGAACTGCTCCAGGAAGACCATAATATTGTATTGCCAAAAATTGTGTCATCATTATCAATAATGACCCACCATTTTGTAAATCCCCACAAAGGGCAAAATCAGTATGATGACATGAACTGCCAAGCAACAGCCTTAATATGAAGATGGGTGACTTTTCTAAGCAAAAGTGAGGTAAGACTATGAACTACTACTTAAATTCAATTTTCACTGCTAGGAATTTTCACATCAACTACCATAAAATTCTAGTTTTGTTAGCTCTTTTAAACTCTAACAATCTATGCATAGAATCTCATCAGTTTATCAAAACAGAGCTTTAAAAAAATTATAGAACTGGCAATGAAAACATAAACATAACAGCAAGCAAATAAATGGACAAAATCGAGACATGCTGCAAAACTTAATTCCTGTATTGAATACTTCTGCTCGGTGTTTGACCATGTTTTTAGAGATTCCATCAGACACAGCTTGTGCAGAGTTTAGTTTTTTTTGTTTTAGTAGAGTGTTTTACGGGGCTCGCAACTGCATAAGGTCATAGGAGCGCCAAGGGGTGGATGTCAACAGAGAAGTCTTTACAGGGAATCAGGCTTACTCTGCTCACCTCTCTAGCTTCAACAGCACAAAGTCTGCTTCGACTATCAAGGCACCCCGGAAATAGCGGGTCACAAGAGCGCGACAAACATGCAAAAGAAGTAGAGGAAAATGATGATAGTAAGGATAAGGAAAGAAAAAGCAGCAGTTTCCTGTTGTAGTTTAGGCACAGTTATGAGCATGACATGGTTGGATCAGCCCATTTACAATTCTACTGTGCATTAGAACGAGAAATGTCTCTCCTTTGGGAATGGCCTAAAGACACTTCAGACAGTGGCACCGCCCCGAGGGGTATTGTGCAGAGTGCTGATCTCATGAGAGGTACAGTGTGGAGTTTCACAACCCGCATTTTCGGGCTGACATCTCCAGAAAAGACTTTCACATCTGCAAATTATGTCAAGAACACCTGCCCAACAAATCTTATGATTTGTGTGCAGGTTTTAAAGTAGGAATAGCTGCCGAAAACGCTTACTCGTGCCAAGAATATCAACATAAAATTGATCAAAATAATGAAAATCAACATCAAGGTAAATCACAGTTTACATTGCTTATCTGAGCTTCAGTAATATTAAGGCTCAAGCACATCACATCACATAACTCGCCATTTGATACATGCACTAGTCGAGGATTCACTGAGCAAATACAAAGATATAAACATAACAGCATTAACTAAGGTAACAAAAGTAATGAAAGCCCACCACACCCCCCTCCCCCCACCTCCCAGGCCCTTCCCCCTCCTCTTTCAAACAATTCAATTTTCAGTGCAGATTACACTTGCAAAACACAAAACTGAGCTCATATTATTATGAGCAAATTACATGCAAAGTTATATGCTTAGGAACAGTTAAAAGAAAAAAAAAAGGAAAATCAGTTTCCGAACCATACTAGAAATGGTAGCAACATCATCAGAAGGAAAATATCAGAGCTAACTAAAACTCGACATTTCTTTTAAGGGTCACCAGAATCGTAAATTTCATAGGATACGAATGTAAGAGGGTGCCTCAGTCAAAAGTTTTAATTAATAACTAAAATTTTGAGAGAAAAAATGGATGAAAGAAATAATTGCTGTGGGTTAAAATTTGATAAGCAGTCAATTCAATTTTTCTCTATTTTTAGGCCTGCAGAATGGAATTAACGGATGTGGGAAGGGTTTCCATTTCCCCTTAGGATTGTCTGCTTTTTAAGAGACTTAAGAATTTTGTTTACAGCAGAAGTAAAATCTAAAGGAAGGATCAGAGTAGGAGACAACCATTGATAAATAACCCTTGTTTTAGAAACATCAATAGTGACCCTAGTGACAATTTTCCTGACTTAACAAGTGTTTATTGAAGTGGATTGAACCAATCAAATCACTCTGAACATGCTTTACCTTTTCCACCACGAGTCTTGAAAGTCATAAAAGTGAACGAGGAAAGATGTTAAACTGAGTAAGAAAAGCCAAGCCTAGTCCATAAAACTTCGTTATTTATGGTAACATATGGACATTGTGATTACCTCTCATGATGACTGCATCTCTCCAGTTGTTATTGTTATCTATCCAGCTCAAAATAACTAAATATGATTAATTCAAGAGTAAAGAGTTCAATAATGTGTCATGCAAGTGTGATCATCTGTCAACACATAGAATATCATCGCACACATGCCAAACAAGTAAAAGAAATCCACTGACAAGAGAAAGAAATATTTTCCTATAGCCCTTCTAGCAGATGAGCATGATTCAATTTTACTTCGTTCAAATTATGTTCACTAAGAAAAATGGAATCATAGCTGAATTTTTCCATTAAACCCAGTTCAGAGGGATTTTCATAAAGAAAAATGTCCCTTCCTTTGTGGGATATTAAACAGAAACTCATAGTCCAGCCAAGTTCAGAACAAAATTGCTACATTAGACAAGTGCAACCTTTACTACAGAGATACAATGAACTATTCATCTCTAACAAACATACTATCTATTTATATAATACACTTCTAAAGATTTTGGTACTGACTTGACATCCTGGAACAACCCCCTCCCCCCCCCCCCCCCCCCAAACAACAACAAATATCCAGTGCTCATGATACAAATTTATAGTCACATGAAATAACTTAAGTTTAGTTTTAGTAAGGTTTTACAGCACTCGCAACTGCATAAAGTCATATGAGCGCCAAGGGGTGGATGTCAACAGAGAAGTCCATATGGGGAATCAGGCCTACTCTGCTCACCTCTCTAGCCTCAACAGCACAAAGTCTGCTTTGACTATCAAGGCACCCTGGAAATAGCAGTTCACAAGAGAGTGACAAATATACAAAAGAAGTAGACGAAAAATGACTTTAGTAAGGATGAGGAAATAAAAAGGAGCAATTCCCCCTATGTTGTACCGGCACAGTATGAGCATGATATTGATAAATCAGCCCATTTACAATGCTCCTGTGCATGTTAATATCCCCCTTTGGGAATGGCCTAAAGACACTTCAGTCAGTAGCACTGCCCTAATGGAGTACATGAAATAAAAGAACTCATATTTTTACAAAGAAATATCAGTAACTCAATGGTATGCCTTAAGAATATTTTGCACCTTCTACATATGTACCTACTACCTGTATACAGATATCCAAATGCCATGTAGCCAAACGTAACCATGAAGGATGCTGGCACCAGAGTGATCATGGGAATGTATCCTATGAGCCTTTTAGTGTTTACTTTACAACAAACAATGTCCTCACTCTGCTCAAAATACTGGTAATATCAGGAAAAAATCATCCTATTTGAATCAATATCCATGCATTTTAAGTCTGGTTTGAATATTTCTCAGAGAAGAGGACCTAAGCCTGTATTTCAAAACAACATAAAAACAGTTATGATAATTTCTTTCAGTCCTTTGTCTCCACATTCACAATTATTCAGTATTTTGAAGGTGCATTACATGTATCCTATCACATCTCTGATGTCAGATTTTGTTAGAGAATAAGATATCCTCTACATCAGGTCTAAGGTTGGGGAATGGTCCTATTTTGATTTCTATCACACACTTAACTCAGTTGGTCCAGTCCCACAGTCTAAATGGAATTACATGAGGCCACTTCTCTGCTTAAGGCTTTGAGAATGAAGCGGATACATACATCTGACCAGCAGCAGACCAAAAGCAACGTTGCGGCATATGGCGAACCGTCATGCACAAATCAGAAACCCAAATTTTCATATCGTCTGGTGTGCATGGTGTTTCTGGCCTTCTTAAATTTCATACAAAGAAAACAGAATTAAAAATCTGTATGATTAAGGAAGTTATACTTGATTTTTAAAGTGCCCCAAAACAGCACATCTTCAAGCAAATGACAAGAATGCGCATCCTCAGTGAGTTTACTCTTTGGTGCTATACAGGTGGCTCACTTGACTTGGTTGAAAAAGACAGTAATTTTGTACATCTTACAGGGAATATAAAAGAAAGAGATAAACTGAGTCGCTACTTGTACAAGCACATCAACACCTTAGAAGTTTATGCTAAATTGTCCTCCGAAAGGAAAAGTTGAGTAAGTGTCTGGTGGTGGAGGTGAAAAAGCAGGAAAAGTTGATGAGGGCATTTCCTCTTCAAAGATATTCGAGTCAACTCATCAAAAACTACAGTCATTGCTCATGCTTTGAAAACAATGAGTTATACCCCGGTGGGGGGGGACGACAGCTTGCGGAGTCCGTCAGTGGAAATTTCTCATCCTCCACAACATTAGTGTCAACTGAAGGCTGCTCCTCTGTTCTGTCAGTACAATCCTTGAGGGTTTCACTTGTTGCCAAGGAGGACTGAGCTCCCAATGATGAAGCAAGAGGAATATCTTCCTTGTTCATTGTATTCTGTTCATTTTGAAGCGAGTTTGAAGCCCGAACTGGTGTCTGTGGAGTGACTTCAGCTGACACCCTAGTAACTTGGGTCAGTTCGTCGTCCTGGGGAGATGGGGTCGGAAGCATCCCTGAAGACTGAGCTATAGCAATCTCAGCAGTGGTTGTGTTTTCCAGCAGTTCTACTGCACGCTGCAGCCTGATAGAGCCAAGTTTACGGCCATGTAGATCAAAAGGATCTGCAGTGTAATATGGTCCTGTTTAAGAAAAAGAAAAAATGTTTTATGTCTTGTCTTAAAAATTATTTGCGACGGTGGGGTGCGTGTATGCGTGTTGATCTATTTTGGTGGGAGTTTTTTTGTTTGTGGGGTTGTTTGTTTGTTTTTTTGTGGGGGATTTTTTTTTGGGGGGGAGGGGAGGGTGCAGTTAAATGTAAAATGTAAACAAGTATGTTGCCGACATTTCATTTTATATCATGCAGAGTAAAATTTTATGTTACCTTCACATTTTATTCAAGGATGAATATACGTCGATATATTCTCTTATAGAAACTACTTATATGATTGAGCAGCCTACAGCTTTACTCAGTGCACTTTAGAATGTTTGGTACAAATGACTAATTAACACTTCTAGGAACTGTGTCTGAAATAAACAAATAGGCCCTACATGTATTCAATATCTATTGCTCTTATGTCAAATAAATGTATCTCAAGTTAACAAACAAATTTCTAAGAATTTTTTATTTCAAATTGTTATCCAGTAAGCGAGACTAATAGCCTACTTTGGACTCGCGCCTACAAATCTGCATAAGATAGCATGGTTCTTTAGGCCTACTGTGTTGTGAAAAATTGCATATTCTTTGGTATAAATAAAAAATAAAAATAATTTGTCATAAAAAATTTTTTGTCATTCTTTACATTTGGATCATTATGAAGACGTTTTTTTTTTTAAAGTTCTATTTACAATTATAGTTACATTTAAATGTAGGTCATAAGCAAATGAGACATTGTAAACATCCGATTATAGTTTCAAGCCAAAGCCCTTTTCCCATCACTATTACATAACACTTTCTTAACTCGCCCTTTTCAAAATCTAGAGATTTTTCTCTTCACAATTGCCCCTTTTCTTTACCTTGAAAAATTGATCAAAGCCCCATCCCAGCTGAGTATAAAACACTATATTGCATTCATTGAAATACTCAAATTTTTTTAGGCAGAAAGGTTACAAAATCCTAATGCATTTCGCCAGAACTTTCTACAACTGGAAACAAAAATTAAAGGTTGTTAGTGAGCTGCATACCTGGGGGAAAATCTTTAGCTAAGCCTGCATTGCTTAGAGTACGAGGTCGCTTTTTGCGAGTGCAGAAAGCCAAATACAGAATCAGCAGCAGGGCAACAGGTGCAGAGAAGAAAACGAATAGAGTGTTCTTCGAGTACCCGTCATCTTTTTCTTCTTTTGTAGATCCCACATTGGTGGATTTCACTTTTTCTGAGGATGTATATTAATGGGTTTAAACAGTGTCATAAAAGAGTAAATAGTCAGCAAACCATAACACTCTTTGCAAAGAAAAACAGAAAAGTAACATTCAATTCCGAATTTAAGGTCTGACTTCAATACTCAAAAAGTACAAAAGTAGACTAATGTAGGAATGCCATCACTCACTTCCACAGTAAAATACCCCCCCCCCCCCCCTCTCTCTCTCTACTCACAATCAAACGTTGTGCAGCATACATCCCCCTATGTGCATAGTTTTCTTATTTTTGAGTCAACAAAAATAATGTCCAAGGTTTGTTATGAACTTGAATATGAGTTTTGAAAAAGCAGTAGAAATGGCAACACTAAAGGTGGTGCTTGAAATTTAAAATCCAGTTTCAAGTGAGCTAAAAAATTCTGACTGAGCAATGTGTGAACGTCACATGCGCACTTTTAAAAATACTGATAGGGCCTAGTTATAAAATGTATAACAACATTATAGCTTTGTTTCGTTAAGTCTCTCAAAGGCAACTGACATGTATAAAGGAATTGTCATGAGTTTAATTAATGTGCCTTTGTTTGCATGAGTGTGCAGAGAGAAAAAAGAGGAGCATGCTAGAAATAAGAGTGAAGGGAATGTAGCCTCATGCAGAGACTCTTGTGAAGTGTTGCTAGGTTTTACACGCCCAAACATAAAAGTGATAAAAAGTAGGAATCAGAAATTACTTCTTTGCTTTAAAAAATACGGTTACATCTTTGTAAAATTTAGTCTTTGAACAAGTAAACATGTCCCCTGTAGCTATCATTGTTCTGTCATAGTATTTAAGGAAAACTTGCATGAGATGAAGACTGGGATCTAGCAAAATATACTACTGAATAGCTTCAGGAGTTCACACTCTCAAGGTGTTCATAAAATTGTCTGATGCCAGAACTTACCTATGAAGCGATACTTGAACATAAAAGAGTGCTGGTAATTTGTTACATTAGCAGGAGATGCATATCTGTCTTCCCCAGGGCTGACCTCAATAGAAATGTAGTCAAAACTTGGAGCAAGGGCAATACAATATTCAGTGCCCAGCTCTGGGACACTCTCAAAACCAAACTGCCTGTGAAATAAAACATAATTATGAACGCGTTGCAATTGATGGATCTCACTCTTTTCACAACAAGGTTATTAAAATTGATCAAAATGGTACAGGTTTTAACGCCCTTTGCAACACCTAGCTAAGTGGGAAAATTCATGTTAAGTGCCTCTCTCAAGGACACAAAGTTAGACTGCTGAGCCTCAAAAATCTGAACTCCCAATCCCATAATTATAAGTCAAGTAGAATAACCACAAGACTACCAACACCATTTAGGATATCCTTTATAGAAAAGAAATATATCGTTACATTTATTGAGATAAATTAGAGCTTTACAACCTTATTAAAATAATTAAGTCAAATAAAAAGGAAGCAGACTAGGACACTTATATTATAGCAATGTAATATCAGAAGATGCTGAAGATAGGGGCAATTAATCCAGTCAGGGTTTATCAGAAAACGTTTGCAGAAATCTTCATCCTCCAATGTGTATGCACATGATGTGTGTGCAAGTATATGTGTGATATGTGTATGGGTATGTGTATGTGAGTGTGTTTGTGTGTGTTTTTGTGTGGGTGTTTGTGAGTGTGTATGTGTGTCTGTGTGTGTTTGTACATGTGTCTGTTTATTTGTGAGAATAAGTGGGCATGTATAATAGTGCGCAAGCTTTCTAGGAGTGAACATGAAGAGGAAACAAAATACCTGAGCTTGCAGAAATCTTAAAATTGCAGTCACATGTATGTTCACAGCAAACATACATCTTGCAATAACTTACCCAGATAAACAAAGAGTTCAGAAACACCAGCAGAAATTGTGAGTAAAGCTTATTTGCATGCCAACATTTCACTAAAGTGAGTATAAGCTGTACAAATATGCTCCACTTCTATCAAATCAAAGGCAATAGAAAAATGCAACAAACTTACTCAAGGGCAGAGCCTTCTATGAAAAGCTGAACACTATTCATAGAGAATTCTGCAACGCTGAAAATAAAACAAAATTTTTCATATTTCTGAACATCACTTTCAGGCAAAATATGAAGCTTGCACAGCACTGGATGTTTCACGTTGGGTTTGTTAACCACAGACACGACGACACCTCGAGTTGACCTCACATTTCGCCAACCTTCAGGACAATTAATTGCCACTTCTCTCAGGTCATCTGTTAAAAAAGCAAACAAAGGGTTTAGTAAATAACAAATATCCAATGTAAATTATTCTGGCAATAATTATAAGACAGGACAAGATGAGTCACATTATGGTGGAATCAGGCGCTCGTCAATTTTTGGACATAAGGGATTATTGGTATCATCTTAAAGCCTGTTCATTTTCCTTTCTTTTGGTGAAAAAAATACCCATCAATGTTGAATAGAGATACAGTCGAACCTGTGTAAGATGGCCACTCATTGTCAAGGAGAAAAGTGGCCGTATAAGACAGGCGGCCGTCTTAGGCAGGACTGATCGAGATGAAGAAAACAAACCATTCCTTTCCGAGAAAACAAACCCTTTCTTTCTGAGGTCCCAACCGAAGGTAGTTGCATTGTTGTTGTTGTTTTCGCTGGGTTTTCTTTTCTTTTGTTGCTGCTTTTGTGCACGGGTGACAATAAAACGAAATGTGTCAGACAAGGAGGATCAAGTGCTATGGTAAAACAAACACCCGTACCACCACTCGGAGAACAAGCGACGCTTCTGTCACAAGTTCATGCTGACGTCCATTGTTACTGTGTTACAGACTGGGTAAACAGTGACCACTCATCTCACTTGCGATTTGTGTATGGGTTCTGGGCGGGGCTTATGGGTTAGGAGGGATCACACGCTTACCTCACCAGCAGCTGAAAATTTATTTTCTTACCTATTGGTCAACAGTGGGAGGGGCCTACGCAACATGATCAGTTGGAGGGACTACCTAACAACGACAGGTTTTTAGATTATGGCGGCTCGCCCACAACACCAGGGGCCAATGCACAATTTATGACAAAGCATAATGGAGTCACTAAGGTGGCCGTCTAAGACAGGTGTTTTTGCTTTGTGTGATAGGGTTTGTGCGTTGAAATATGGTGGCCGCAGCCGCGTTGGACAGGTGCCCGTTTTACACAGTTAAATTATATAGAAAAAACGCAAGGGGGGAAATGGAAAGTGTCCGTTTGTACAGGTGGCTGTCTTATAGAGGTGGCCGTAGGGGCAGGTTCGACTGTATTTGCAATAAGAAGGAGGTCAGGATTGCTTGGTTTCAGAGGTAAAATTAGCAGAAAAATGGCCACTAAAGTTTGGTACTTTCCATAGCTTATTGAGAGTCCTTGAAAAATGAACATTTATCTACATTTCTTGTGCCTTTAATACAATGTTTTTCAGTATTATCGACACAGAAATGTGTTTTTAAATGTATGTAAAAAGACTTGAGCCAAAAAAAGAAAATTTTTCAACAATTGCCCGAAAGCCAGAAAAAAGTCAATTTCTTTGATTTCATCATTTTGATGAGCACCTGATTTTACCATTATGCCTCACATATAATGGCTACTCACAACAATTATTTTCACAATACTTTTCCAGGTGATATGCGCCTAGCATGTACAATAAACTTCACAAGAAATCCTTTGTGTGTCATTGGAAGCCCTGTGGTTAGGCTTTCAGACTCACAAACTGTACGGTCGTAGGTTCAAATCCAGTCAGGGGCTAAACACTGTGTCCTTGAAGTCGAATGCACACTTGTAGCACTTAAGACCCAGATTCTGTCCCCAAACAAAATTGTTGATTTCTATCTTTGTGAGCTTGTCAAACTATCATGTGGCCCTAATCCAAGACAAACGGGATCTTTGAAGTTGACGTTTCTTCAACATTAACACCTGTCCTTGACTTATATCGAAACCCTTTTCATTTTATTTAAGTCACCAGCAGGCTTCATGCATTTGTGTCTTATGTCATTATACATTTTGGGGAAGCTGCAACTCATAACTTCTCCATACTAAAGCCTGTGCAGACATTTGACCTTACAAGAGAGCTGTTAAGATAATACCACTATAGTAGGTCTTTCGGTTTGAGATTGTCTGAAAGAAAGTTTTTCACATTACCAATATCTTTCTTTTAATTTTTCCTGTAGCATTAAAATAACATCACCATCCTTTAGCTATACAAAAAATTTCAAGCGCATATGATGAGGACTTAGTCACTTCCACCTGCTTGACCACTAGTTTGGATATTTATAAAATTGTCAAACAATTCAAACTTGACTCACTGTAACCCATGTTCTTTCCATTCCATGGCATGGCATGAAGTAAGCAACAACAAAAAATTCTTAATAACATAGGCTCTATAGGAAAGATTTTATAATATTTTAAAGCTTTATTTTATATATATATATTTTTTTTGGCAGCATGTTTTACTCCATCTAAGGTTACAATGAGCTAGAAATTGAGTTTTTCTCCAAACTTTGTTTTTACACCCCATGTTACAAAATGTGACATATCTTTAAAAGTACTTAAGATATTTGAAAAATTAAAAAAACAGCATGTTCAGTAATGAATTGGCTACAAGAATATGCCCTTATTTTAATATCTAATATTTTTCGACAACTGACAGACTTTTCTGCAGGCACACACACACATACGTAGATCTACTGCTGCTTTGTCCCTGTCATAGCTTTTGTTTCATTTAGTTTTGTTTTAGTATGAGGGACATCCAGAAAGTAAGTACCATTTTAAAATAATTATAAAAGAAATAATTTTCCGTACCAAAACGATTTATTTTTGAATACCTCATATATATGACTACTTCTCCACATAGTCACCAGAACTATTGAGGTATTTGTCGTAGCGTGGGACGCGCTTCTGAATGCCCTCATCGTAGAAAGCTGCCGCCAGCGATGTCAGCCAATGTCCAGTCTCTCCTGTGAAATCAGCGTCTGAGTCGAAGTCCTGCCCAACCAAAAACTTTTTCAAATGGAGGGACAGATGAAAGTCACTCGGAGCCAGGTCTGGGCTGTACGATGGATGCTTCAACTGTTCCCATCTGAAGGAGACGATCAGGTTTTGGGTCTGTGCAGACTTGAGAGGAGTTGCATTGTCGTGAAGCAGAACATCGCCGTCGCTAAGTATTCCGCATTTTTGGTTTGAATCGCTCTACGCAGGCCGCGTCAAGAAAGAAAGTCATGAGTACAGTGTTTGGGGACAGACAAGGAGTTCTTTTAGTAGAATTTTGGGGAAATGGGATGACAATTAACTCTGATGTGTACTGCACCACACTTAAAAAACTGCGCACAGTGATTCAAAACAAAAGACACTGAATGCTTAGCAACGGCGTTGTTCAGCTTCACGACAATGCAACTCCTCTCAAGTCTGCACAGACCCAAAACCTGATCGCCTCCTTCAGATGGGAACAGTTGAAGCCCCCATCGTACAGCCCAGACTTGACTCCAAGTGACTTTCATCTGTTCCTGCATTTGAAAAGGTTTTTGGCCATGCAGGACTTCGACTCAGACGCTGATCTCACAGGAGAGACTTGACATTGGCTGACATCGCAGGTGGCAGCTTTCCATGATGAGGGCATTCAGAAGCTCGTCCCACGCTACGACAAATGTCTCAACAGTTCTGGTGACTATGTGGAGAAGTAGTCATATATATGAGGTATTCAAAAATAAATCGTTTTGATATGAAAAATTATTTCTTTTATAATTATTTTAAAACGGTACTTACTTTCTGGACGTGCCTCGCAAGAGTTTTGTGGCATTTGCGACACAATATAAGGCTAAGACCATATAAGTGCTAAAGATTAGAGGCGTTACAAAAGAGTAACAAACACAAAAAACAAAGAGGTTAGATAAGGATGGAAGATGTTTGACAGGAAAGAAAGAGCAAACCATACCTGAGCACCCACCAACCACCCATGTTTTTAGTCTACAAAACAGTATCATGTACTCACATGTATGGGGCCAAATTTTCTTCACATACACTTTAACAAAACCTCTGAAATTACAGAAGTTGGTACTCATGTATGCAACTGTCAAATTTTCACCACTGCCGAGACACACTGAGCGAGGATAAAGTAGGGACAATTTTCCACTGCCACAGTAAATTCCCTGAAAATATAAAGCAATTAAAGCAAAGCTTATTTATTTTTTCCCTTTTGACATAAATGTAAGTTTTCATCAGTGGCATTTTTCAGAACAAGTTACCATGCCCAGTCATACTTTATAAAATCTTTTAAAATGAGTGACAATGAAGTAGCCTCTGTCTCATATAGTCAATAAACAATAATATGCTATCACCAGGGGCGAAGCGTCTATATAATCAAATAATCACTGCTTCCCTTCCTAATTTTGAAACATTGTCGCTGTCAAATTCATCCTTAAACGTAAACCTCTTAAATTAAAAGTAAAAAGAGGTTCGTAATCCACAATGAGTATGCCTAACATTCAAAACAGTTTCACGGCCACATAAATAGCCTCCTCACCCCTCTCGGGCCATTCCATAAGGAGTCGCAAGCTTTGATTAAGTAAGCTTAAAGTGAGGCTGGGAAGAGTGTGCCAATACAGTTTAGGGAACATGTGCATAGCAGTCATGGCTGTTTCATTGCCACATATACCCTGTTCACCCCTTTGGGGCCACAGTTATAATCAATCCCAGGCCCTGATTAAGTAAGCTAACGAACACTGGTCGAGTCTACCTCACAAATGTGAGGGGAACTAACTCCTAACAATCTCTTTACTGCTGCATGTGCTTGTTTTTTTTCCTCGCCTTTTTACTGTCCTATAATCAGATCGTGACCTCGATTATGACACCAGCTCCTGGCCACGAAAGGCTAACAAAAACAGCCAAATGTGAAATTTAAAAAATGATAATTGTCATGTTCTACCAAGGAGTTAGACTCTCTGGTAGGTCTATAACATATAGATCTAGTACTGACATCTCTGCTTCTTTGCTTTGTGTTTATGTATTCACATCTAAAGTTAATTTAATTTTAGTTGGAACTGATATTTAATAAGATACTTTCCCGATTATTTTGGCGGTTGAACATACAATAAGAATTCCGGATTTGTTTTCATTCACAACTCAGAGTCGCCGCCTCGAGTAAGATTCTTCTGTGATATCTACAGGCCATATAGATCTATATCTGATCCCGTTTCACTTTGATTACCCTGTCAAACAAGTCAGCCTTCGCCCCTGGCTATCACTACATAATATATATATCTATCTGAATTGGTAAAATAAAATGAACATGCAAATAGTTTAAAACATACTTGTATTCAATAGGCTACAGTTAGTGATTTTGAGTTGTTATATAGACACAATAAACACAATTTTGCTCATCATGTGAGCACTGGTGCTGATTTGTGGGGTGTGACTAAAGACAAGACTGTGAGGCACTGCACTATGGGCCATATAGCGTGGGAATTATGTTTGTGTGCATGTGAATATGTGTGTGTTCTTGTTTGAATATGAAGGTCTGCATCAGAAAGAGATTACAGACGAGGGGTGAGTGGTGTGCTCTGATCAGTTTTGGTCACATTATCATGATCGTGATCTGATGTGAGAGCAATTTTTTCTACTCATGTTGCAAGACTCATCAGTACCACTCTCTTCCTTTCTCTTGTTTTGACTATGAACAAGGTGCACGCACTATCGTTTCCTCCATCTTTTATATCGATACCAGGCACTTTTCATAATGACAGAGAAGAGAAAACTGAAATGTCAGACAATAAGAACCACATGATTGATTTTCCAATCATTAAACCGTCACAATTACTTCCCTTGTTTTTCTTTAATATCTCTCTTATTTTTCGTTTTTCATAGTTTACTCGAATAAAAGGATGTGTCGAGCACATTTGTCAACCCCCAAACGAATTTGAGAAATTCTTGCTCAGTATGACATTGAATTTCAGTAATGATGAGACAGTTAACAGATATGAAGTAATTTTAAAGTCTCACCTGAATTTCCCTTTCTAAGCCATTTGCCATATGCTTCGAAAATTTGACTTGGGACAAGCAGTCATCCACTGTCTGGTTTGACAGATCAAAGCAAATCTTGTAGGCCTCTCTCATGACATGATCATCTCCAGAAAACTTTAAAGAACATTCTTTAATGAAATGAAAGCTGCAGTCTGAGCCTTCTTTTCTAGGTGCCGCAGATGTATAATATACCGTGGATGGGTCCTTCATTATAGTATCTTTTGAACAGGACTTCTTTGATTTATCAACTTGCACGGAAACTGAAAGTAAAGAAGAATAGACACAGGTACAGCCTTACCAAATATAAGTTGTAGTACTGTCTTCAAGCAATATTTGACAAGGCAGGGGGATACATGTGAAATTAACAGACCGAGTTAGCACTCATATTGACATTTTAACATCAACTATTTGATTCCATAGTGACCAGGGAAGAGTATATATGCATATTTTTATCTTTGCCGTGCTTCCTTCAAGACTATGAATGCCAATACTTGTGCTGTTGTATGTCTATTAATAAGCCTGTCTGACATTCTGTACATCTGATAGCCATTTTCAAAACTTTGTTAAGGGGGAATAAAAGTATTCCTCGATTGATTGTACTGTGTGGTAGACATTTGTTAGAACTAAAATTTTAGCCTTTTCTTACAAATATGCATCAGGACGTGGAGGAATCAGGCGCTCGTCAATTTTTGGGCATTTGGAGTTATTGGTATCATCTTCAAGCCTGTTCATTTGCCTCGCGTTTGATGAAAACAGCACCCATCTATCTTGAACAGAAGTCGAGATATTGGTTACTGAAGGAGCTGAGGGTCGCCTGGTGTTTGAGGTAAAATTAGCAAGAAAATGGCCACTAAAGTTTGGTGATTTCCAAAGCTTGAGTGTCCCTGAAAACTGCAAATTTATGTTTTTTGTGTCTTTCATCAATGTTTTTCAGTGAAATGCATGCAGGAATACGCAGGAATATACTATACTCACAGTGAATCACAGCATTTTGAGAACCATATCAAACAAGAAAAGTCACCTTTGTCTTCCATCTCTTTGTTCTAAGTTAAATTCTTCTGGATGGTGGGGACAAAGCCGTTTCCCCTTCAAATTTCCTGTAATTTCATCTGGTTTGACCTGATTACTGTTAAATCTCAGTGGCACAAACACAAACATGCAGTAACAACACTTCAAACATATTCCTTCTATGATCAGGATAAGGCCAAGTAGTGTGTAGTCGCGAAAAGTAGAACGCACCAAACAAAGGTCCAAAGAGCGCATGAGTAACTGGGGGAAAGTGTCTCATAAATTTCACCCTTTGTCAGGGCTGGGAGAGCGGGAGCCCTCAGTACAGTGTTCTTTTTTAAAATGTTTTTTTTACCTTTTTACAAGAATAGTTTCATTAAGGACTGGCCGTGGAAACAGGCTTATCCTTCGCTGAGCCCTAAAGACATGTGATAGGCCGTTAGGTTACTATAGCTGTAAGAGGTGACGACCGTGATTTGATAAACAAGCGAGCCGCCAAGTTGATCACAGTGTGTTCATTGTGTTTGATCATAACAGTTTCAACTGCTTATTTCATTATTTAAGAAATGTTCACTCATGAAGGGATAGAGTTGGGGGCTCAAGCTTGTAAGCCCTTCACTACCCACTGCCACTGGGAATATGTTTTTACATGGGTATAAAAGATGTTTAGCCAAAAATTTAAAAATTCGATAAAAATTGCACAATGGAAGGAGAAAAGTCCATTTCTTCAATTTCATTATTTTGATGAGCTTCGTATTCCACCACATTGCAACACATATATAACCTAAAGCCATAGGCCTGACTGGTCAACTAATCATACTGTGAAGGGAAGTTATAAGGTATAAAACTTTCATTACGTTTCTAACGATTCTTAAAATTTTCTATGTTTCTCACTTTTCCCTGACTTGAAAGACAACACTTCCTGAAAAAATTAAGTGTTCCAAAAAAGAAACAAAATAACAATCAACAAATTAGAAACAGAGCCTTGTTTGGATTTGTATACTGGTTTTAAAATGGATCTTAGGAAACAAAGAACAAAACCCCTGGAAGTAGAAGGAAATGCAAGAGATCCCTGTTATCTCAATCTTTGTAGAAAAAAATCCAAGAAAATTTAAGAAGCATTAGATTGAGCGTGAATAGTATTATTGAAATTTAATTTTAGACCATGAATAATGTCTAGCCGCAAAAACTAATCTCACACATAGTTTCAATACAGTTTAATCATCATCATCATCATCATCATCATCATCATCATCATCATCATCATCATCATCATCATCATCATCATCATCATCATCATCATCACCATCATATCACCATCATAAATGAACAATAAAAGAGAAAAAAATGTATACTGGGTGTCTAAAAAAAAGAGAACCCTTTTAAAGGGCAATACCATAGTCAAAAACTTTACTTTATTTAATTAATTCACCCAGCTGCAGATAGGAATTTGGTAATTAGTAGAGATGAAATATATGAATATCAGCAATGTATCCCTAAAAGGTTGTAACACTGTATATCCCCTAGGCTACCAAAATGCTAATCATGAAATCATGAAGTTATGTGAGCCCTTCAGGAGCACCTTTATAAGACTATGAATAAGCCTGTGAACTTTTCGAAATAAATTGTGACACATAATGCGGTGGAATCAGGCACTCGTCAATTTTTGTGAATGTGGAGTTATTGATACCACCTGAAAGCTTATTCATTTGTCTTGCTTTCAATTTTAAAAATACCTATATATCCTGAACAGAAGTCGAGATATTTGCGATTGAAGAATATGGGGGTTGCCTGGCTTCAGAAGTGAAATCAACGAGAAAATGGCCGTCACAGTTTGATCATTTTAATAGCTTGAAAGTCCTTGCAAAATGAAAATTTATATATCTTGGGTCTTTAACCAATGTTTTTCAGTAAGATTCACATGGAAACGGGTTTTTACATTAAATAAAAGGTGTTGAGCACAAAAACAAAAAGTGAATAAAAATTGCCAGACTGGTGAAAAAATGCCAGCTGATTTCACTATGATGCTTTACAATTAAAGATCAATCCTATTCCTAGATGCAGCCATAGAAATGGTCAGTTTTTGTTCCTATTACTAGGCTATACCTCATCCTGATTCTCATCACCATCGTCATTGTCATGAAACAATGAAAACAACAAGAACAGAATCTAGAGTAGGACTGAACTGAATCACAATATGAACTGTGTCCTCAATGCAAAGACATTTTAAATGTCGTACAACAGAATCAGCTCTTCTATTCTCTTACATGGTTTACCTGGATACCTGGAGGTGCCGTCTCTGGCTCAGAGGTTGATGTGCATGACCAGCCAGTGCTTACTGTCACTAGCTGCTGCCGTTATAAACTCAGTCATATTTAGACTAATACATGCCTTGATGACTTTATGTTATCGGTCTACATTGTTCTTTATTCACTCTTAACCCTTTTAGCCCACATCTTGCCTTCGAGTATTTCCTTTATAATGGTCTGGTGGTGTTTTATATGGGAAAAGTATTGTATTTTTCTACTTTTCCTTTTGTTAAGCAGGGTTTGCTTTTGTGGAGAATCTGACACACCTCGTTGTTAGTCCTTTCTGTTTCCCAGCTAATTTTGGCCATTCTGTGGTAGCACCACATCTTAAATGTAGATATTTTGTTTTTTTCTTTTTTATGTCAAAATCCAAGTTTTGGTGCCTTACGAGTATATGAGATAGTTTACTTTCAGTCTAATCCTTGCCTCCACAACCCAAAATGACATGCATCATGCTGCACAAGTGTGATTTGATCCAACATCACTGACTCCTCCTTTACTAATACTATAATCATGAGTAAGCCTTATTGTGAACAATCCTTAGCTTCTTGTAGTGAACTCCTGAGCTGCAGTTAGAAAGGACTAGGTTAATATCAAGGATGTCATTGGAAACATTCACCCTTCACCAGCACTTACCTTCTTGAATGTGAGTGTTGAGAACATAGTCAAATAGCAGAGCGGTGAGGCTGCACATAAAACTTGAAACTTGATTCAGTCTCATGTTGATTGGCTAGGGAAAAAAATGTTTTGTATACTTGTATGTATGATGACAAAAACCAACATTGATTAGATACATAGCAGGTTACATATAAGCCTATGGCTCGAAGTTTGCCCCTCATTTTGGAGTAGAGGAGTTTAAAGAGGAGTTTGAAAAAAAAATAAATCAACTTTTTCGTACAAGTGTGGTATCTGATTATCATCACAACTTGAAAATCTTTTTAAAAAATTAGATCTAGAGATAAAAAAATATGAATCTTTACATTGCTACAATATTTATAACCTGACCAGGGTTCAAATCTGCGTGTATGTGTGAGCATGTAAGTGTGTGTCAGTGTATGTGTGTGTGTGTGTGTGTGTGT